CTTTGGGGTGCACGTGGGCTCGGCCTGTGCGGCGCTGGTTTTCGTTAGGGTTCTCGAACCTTCGAACGGCCTGCCGAGGTCTGTGATGTCTCTCGACTGCGTCACTCACTCCAGGCCAGTTTCGAGCGGATGGTGGTTGCATTCGCGTTGGATTCGTGGATTAAAGACGCTTACAACCAGGAACAAGGAAATGCCGGGCTGTTTTGAGCCTCAAAACCCAAGGGCTGTGTGTGTGGCCTTGGGGCTCGGCCTCCTGAATTCGGGGTGTTGTGTGTTGTAGGCGACGGCAAAAGCGAGCAGAAAGGCGGAGACAAAAAGCGAGGAGTGAAGCGCCCGCGGGAAGACCACGGCCGTGGCTACTTTGAGTACATTGAGGAGAATTTTTCCCGCCGCCCGCTCCGCGCGTGTCCTGGGGGGGAAAGGCTGTACCGGAGGCCCTGTTGTCTTTCAGAGCCAAGTCCCCGCAGCCGCCCGTGGAGGAGGAAGATGAGCACTTCGATGACACGGTGGTTTGTCTTGACACTTGTAAGTGAAGCTGCTGCACCCCCTCCTCCCCCAATTTTCAAATGTGGTTTCGGTTTTAAATGTTAGGAAACTTACAACACTGAGCTTAAATGCAGAAAATTTAACGGGGAAATGGAAACAGGTTTTTAAAGGCAGGAAGATGATTTATCCGGTAGCTTAAATATTTGGTATAACATCAGCTGTATTGATAATTACACAGGCTCTAGCAATTTGGTAATACTTTTATATTACTTGAAAGTTCTTTGTAGGAATGTAAAGTTAATGCCAACTTTTGACTAGCTAACTAATGGAAACTTGTAAGGCTTCCTCAATAAAGTAATTTCATCTTTTTTGGACTCACCTTAAGTGAGCTATTTGGATTAGTTACATATTTATTAATGGCTTTTCCCATTAGCACACAAGTGTATTCCCTATTCTAAAAGATTGTAATATTACTTTCTCAATAACTGCTCTTTTGTTCTCAATTCCAGTTCAGTAGCTGCTGCTTTAACATAAGTTGATTTCTTCCAAAGACCTGGGGCAGCAGCAGTGGCCTATCACTGGGCCACTAGCTCTCTTCACCAGCGAATGGTATCAATGGCAGCGCTGTAAATACTGCTACTTTACCCAGTTGGGTTGCAGTTGAGTAGGAGGAAGTATTAGTATTGCAAACCTCTCAATGGCCATGGCTGTTAGAGTTGTAATTTTTATTTACGAAGAGATTTGTTGATTTAGCATTTGATCAGTTCTTAGCAGTTCTTTCAGTGATAGAACAAAGGGTAGAAATAATTGCTTGAAAAATAAGAGGTAAGGTGTCAACCTGCCCTGTAGAGCCTGGGGAGTTGAAGCTTAGATTCTAGTGTTTTTGAATACAGGTTGTTTTTTTATTCAGATATGTCAGAGTGTTAATATAAAACTCTTGATTTCTTGTTGAGTATCCTTTACAGGTAGTTAAGATAGTGGAGTCTTTTAAAAGAAAACTACATGGAAAAGTAGTCAGATGGATGTTTTTAAATTCGGTTTCTTAAATATAAAGTATTAGGTATTGGCAAGATAAATGAAGCAATAATTCAAGAAGGTAACACTACTATTATAAAGTAGACAGACTTGTAACTGGTCACCTAGGAATATCAATTTGTTAAGTGCAATATTGGGTTCATTCTATCAATGCTGGTCGGGAATTTTAAGAGCAAAGCTAATGTAAGGGGAATTCCAAACTACGTAGATTTAATTTTTTCTCACCAATAAAAACTTTTTAAGGAAACAGCTTTCTAACTTCAGCTCTCCCTCAGAAGTGCATGTTAATGAGCCACTGACCCATAGGTAGCGAGCTAGGTTAAAGACGTTCTGGATTTGGATAATCCTGGAAGTGGGTAACCCCCATTGTGTTGAACAGGCAAGCACAAGGAAAGGAGACCTACAGCGCTATAATAGTTACAGCATTAGACAACTGGGTTTGTGTTTGTAGATTGAGACTGCCTTCACAAGTTTTAGAAAAGAATTTAGGATCTAGAGTCCCTGGTGTTTTAAAAATAGAAAGTACAGGATCAGCAGCTCTTACAATACTTGGTCATGGCCTGTCAGTTCTATTGTGGCACTGGTAAATTCTACCTGGTTCTGGCATGCTTCACTTTGATTTCCTGCTATCCTCTACTGCTTGCCTCTAAATCAAGGTAAAGAGCAGAGCAGGTATGTATTAATGTCACATTGTCTTATTTTATATACTTAAAATACACATTAAACCTTGGTGTTTCTTAGTTTTATAGGTAGTTTACACTTCAGTACATAATTTGGCAAGTGACTTGGTGGGAGTGGGGCTTAAAATTGAAGATTTAACAGCATGTAAAAGTGTCCTATGTAGCATTTAGACATACGTGCAGAAATTTAATAACCAAGTTTTGTCTACATAGCAAATATGTTTACATTTGATGTGAAAAGAAATAATATGGTATTGATATAATTACAGATAATTGTGATCTGCATTTTAAAATATCAAGAGATCGCCTCAGTGCTTCTTCCCTTACTATGGAGAGTTTTGCTTTTCTTTGGGCTGGAGGAAGGGCTTCTTACGGTGTGTCAAAAGGCAAAGTCTGCTTTGAGATGAAGGTAAATATAATTTGTGTTTTGGTTTTTAAGAACCTTTGTGAGTTTCCATTCACCTGGCACTATTGGGTATCAGTAGAACTTTTTATTTTTGGAAAGTTCCTATGAATTAGAAGAGGGATAGAAACCTTTTGTAATAGTTGAACATGTTGGATCTGAATTTGTGGTACACAGCCAGCCCCTTTATTATTAAAATGCGCTCTTTTTAATCAGGCACTTGAAAAGACCCACCAAGGGTTTAAAAATAATTAGACTCTTGATTTTGTTCCAGAGAAAAAATATTAAATATGTGCTTTAATTGTTGTAGGTTGAATATTGAGAATATGTAATTTTTAAACATTAACTGTTCTTTTAAATGTGATTCAACCAAGTACTTAAATCTTTTCAAGTTATAAGCCCTTATCAATTCTTTAAGTTCTTGAGTGGGTGACTGTTTGTATTAGCAGCCAGAGCAGAGTTATCCCATGGAATGAAATAAGCCAGGTTTCAAGGGTTTATTTATCTTTAGGCTGATAGTTAAATCACTTATGATTTGACTTTCAGGTTACAGAGAAGATCCCAGTAAGGCATTTATATACAAAAGATATTGACATCCATGAAGTTCGGATTGGCTGGTCTCTAACCACCAGTGGAATGCTACTTGGTAAAGTTTCTATTTGAGTCCTGTGTACTCAGTGTTTAGGGTCTGATTTTAGTAGTTAGAGTAGAAGGCATTCCAAATATTTTGCTTGTTTTTGTCCAATTCTGTTAATATTTTAAATTAGATAACATTAGCATGTAGTAGGCATAGGCTAAATTTTAGTTTTTGTTCTTTTATGACCAATAATATTTAAGATAGAATGTTCCCCACGTTATGCAATTCTTAAACTAGTTATATAACCCATTTAACACTACATCTAGTATAAAGTCAGTGTATGTGAAAGAATATTTAGTATATGCTCATTTTTTTAAAACCTTACATTACGAATACTAAAATATATGGGCATTAAGCTGTTTTGAAAAAAATCAGCTTCATGGTAGTTTATTATTATTTTTAGGAGAAGAAGAATTTTCTTATGGGTATTCTCTAAAAGGAATAAAAACATGCAACTGTGAGACTGAAGATTATGGAGAGAAGTTTGATGAAAATGATGTGATTACATGTTTTGCTGTAAGTCATAGCCAATTTTTTGTGTGTAAATGGCAAGTTATATGCTGGGAATTTTTTTTTTTAACTGTGTTAATATCAACATTCACTACTAACTGATAAAAAGTACTTAACATCAAGTCGACCTGAAAATCTAGTCTTACCTTCTAAGGCAGTATTGTTTCTGCTTTTGGATATAGATCGAACCTAAATAGTATTTCCATAAGATAACCGTCACTCATTTGAAAGTTGAAGTTTCTTAGAAGTTTTACAGGAAGCAGATTAAAACTTAATCTCTCTCCCTCCCTCCCCCTCTATTAACAGAACTTTGAAAGTGATGAAGTAGAACTCTCCTATGCAAAGAATGGACAAGACCTTGGTGTTGCCTTCAAAATCAGTAAGGAAATTCTTGCTGATCGGCCACTCTTCCCACATGTTCTCTGCCACAACTGTGCTGTTGAATTCAATTTTGGTCAGAAGGAAAAGCCATATTTTCCCATACCTGAAGACTATACTTTGATCCAGAACGTCCCCCTGGAGGACCGAGTTAGAGGTCCAAAGGGGCCTGAAGAGAAGAAAGATTGTGAAGTAAGTGACCTTTTTAGAAAGCATTTGAGCACTGCTTTTGTTTGGGCAAAAATGACATTTAGAAGAGTTAGGTGATTGGTGTTTTTCATTTACTTTATGCCATTCCTGTAATTTTTCTCTAAGTAGCTATCTTCTCTCTTAATGTGGAGTGTTAAATTTTCCACAAATTACTTTGTTATGGTGCTATAAAAATTCAGCTATTTAAAGTGGGTTTTGTGCATTAAAATATATTTTAAATTTATTAGGTGGCTTCTGATGATTAGACAGTGAAATAACAATTCTTTCCATTGTAGGTGGTTATGATGATCGGCTTGCCAGGAGCTGGGAAAACTACCTGGGTTACTAAACATGCAGCAGAAAATCCTGGTAAATACAACATTCTTGGAACGAATACCATAATGGATAAAATGATGGTAAGTAGAATGTTTAGTGCAAGATCTCAGCATTTTAAAAAGACCCGAAGGTATTCTGAGTAATCCTTCTGCCTACTGTCCTTCTCCATTTGTGATAGTATTTAAGAGAGGGGAGTTTGGGGAAAGTGAAATTGGTTACTTAAATGTGGGCTCTTTATCTGTAAGGTAAACTGCTTTTCAAATTCTAGGCTTCATTGTCTTTTCTAAAGAATTTTAAGTTCTTACCATCCAACAGCTACAAAGATGAATAGCATGGGGTCTTAGTACATGCTAGTGACCCTTTTTATTATAGCAATAGTGGGGAAAGGCAATTATTTAAATTTTTAAACTGTTGCCTGTTTTCCATATGTAGGAAAGATTTAAGCTGATGCTTAGCTTAAGATTCACAAGCTCAAAGGAAACTTCTCACTTTTACAAACAGGTAGCAGGCTTTAAGAAGCAAATGGCTGATACGGGAAAACTGAACACACTGTTGCAGAGAGCTCCACAGTGTCTTGGAAAGTTTATTGAGATTGCTGCTCGTAAGAAGCGAAATTTTATTCTGGACCAGGTAAGCTCTGTAGCTTTGAAGTTGAGAAAGGTAACTGAAAATTGGGTTTGTGTAGAATTAATAAACAAACAACTTTTTGTTTGTTTTTAAGACAAATGTGTCTGCTGCTGCCCAGAGGAGAAAAATGTGCCTGTTCGCGGGCTTCCAGCGAAAAGCTGTTGTCGTTTGCCCAAAGGATGAAGACTATAAGCAGAGGACACAGAAGAAAGCAGAAGTAGAGGGCAAAGACCTACCAGAACATGCAGTTCTCAAAATGAAAGGCATGGAATTTTATTCTCTTGTCACAGTAAATCTCTTTCTGTGATTTATATCTGTAAACTTAGTTTCTTCTAGAAATACTGTTCCTGGAGTTACATTAACTCTTTGTAAATGAGTATGTTTGGCTTATTTCTACTTTTAGGAAAATGTGTTAGTAAACCAGGAAGTTATTGTAGTGTGTTGAAGAACTTTAAGCCATTCAAGAATTGGAGATTTACGGATTGTGGGATTGTGAATGTGTGTTAATCTGACTTTATTCCTTGTAGGAAACTTTACACTGCCAGAGGTAGCTGAGTGCTTTGATGAGATAACCTATGTGGAACTTCAGAAGGAGGAGGCCCAAAAACTTTTGAAGCAATATAAGGAAGAGAGCAAAAAGGCTCTTCACCCCGAAAAGAAACAGAAGAGCAATAAAAATAAGAGTGGCAAGAACCAGTTTAACAGAGGTGGTGGCCACAGAGGACGTGGCGGATTCAATATGCGTGGTGGAAATTTCAGAGGAGGAGGCGAGTGAACATTCAGTATTCTCTCTATTTGATTGGAAATTGAAACAAGTGAAAATCTTCTAATTTGGGTCTACTTGTTATTTAGCTGAATTTAACACAGGAAATTTGATCCTCATTGATCATAGCTCCTCTAGTTTAAAGTTTTGATGTGATTTGGTAGGATACACACCTAGGTTATGTCAGTGGTTAAACATTACCTTCACCTTTAAACATTTATTTTTCCCCTAAAATAAAGGCAATGGTCCAGAAGAACCCTAAGTCATATGTGTAAAGGAGGCGCAACACACTAATCTAAAATACCTCTTGTTTTTTAGCTCCTGGGAATCGTGGTGGATATAATAGGAGGGGCAACATGCCACAGAGAGGTGGTGGCGGAGGCGGAAGTGGTGGAATTGGCTATCCGTACCCACGTGGCCCTGTTTTTAGCAGCCGAGGTGGCTATTCAAACAGAGGAGGGAACTACAACAGAGGTGGAATGCCCAACAGAGGGAACTACAACCAGGTAATGATTTATGATCCTGATACCCTGATCCCTAATTATCTGTATAAATTAGTCTAAAAAGAGTAAGCTTGTGTTGCATATCCTCTGTAAGAGTTGTGGGAACACAGTGTAAATGCATTGACATAAGGAAAATTAGTGATGGCAGTAAAATGAGTCCACTTAATTAAATTTGATTTTCAGGTACACTAAATAGCAACTACCCCATTTCTGTGCTGTGCTCCCTCATGCTTCCCATGTACAAACCTAAGAAGTGGTTGTGCTCTGAGTTCTTAAAGATTTTTCTTTCTTTTTCTTCCATTTTAGAACTTCAGAGGACGAGGAAACAATCGAGGCTATAAAAATCAATCTCAGGGCTACAACCAGTGGCAGCAGGGTGTAAGTAATTTCTTATGTGCTTAGTACATTAAGTTGTATTTTTTCATAAGAATCATTCTTCAAAAAGATCTTATCCAGGGATTGAAGTGTTTGTAAGTGTTACAGGGCAAGGAGTGAATTGTGTTGCAGTCGTAGCCATAATCTTATCTTTTGAAGGTAAAATAGGTTGATGTTTGATGTAACTTAATATTTTTTTAATTAGTAGTATTTAATGTATATGGTTCTTTTTTACTACTAGCTTTAATTGTATAAACTAACCAAGTCCTGATGTGTTTCCTTTTGTAATGTGTTTATTGATGATGATAATGGGATATTAATACTAACTGAATGTGGTTTGATAGAAATCAGGTATGACAGGTATAAATTTGTTTCCAGCAATTACTCTGAATTAGATTCATTGTCATTTCCTAAAAGCAGTTTGAGTGGCTTATTGATGTTTTTTCTTTAAAAAAAAATTTTCTCTTACAGCAATTCTGGGGTCAGAAGCCATGGAGTCAGCATTATCACCAAGGATATTATTGAATACCCAAATAAAACGAACTGATACATATTTCTCCAAAACCTTCACAAGAAGTCGACTGTTTTCTTTAGTAGGCTAACTTTTTAAACATTCCACAAGAGGAAGTGCCTGCGGGTTCCTTTTTTAGAAGCTTTGTGGGTTGATTTTTTTTCTTTTCTTTTTTGTACATTTTTAATTGCAGTTTTAAAGTGAATCGTAAGAGAACCTCAGCATTGTGCACGATAAGAGAATGTGTCAGTATTTCAGGGTTCTACATTTTATCTGTAAAATGTGACTTTTTTTTTATCACAACAAAAGTAAAATGTTGCTTTGTACCTGGTGTCTTTTATTAAGAATTTACTCCCCCCATTTCTCAGAGATAACAGTCGGGAGTCATTGTCACAATATAATAGAAATGTTAGCAACCAGATTCATGGAAGGGCCAAGTGGTCCTCATGAATTGCATAAGACTCTGTACTGCTCATATTACACTCCATCCTCTCTGTAGTTTGCTGAGTAGTGGAGGGGGTATGCTAAACAGTAGTTTCTGGCAATAACTGGGAAGGCTTTTTCTTTTAAATAACATTGGAATTGGCATAATTGAATGAAGATACAACTTGGAACCAAGATAGAGAAGATGGAGTGTATGTAGAAGGGCTGTTAAAAATGTAAAACGTGTTTGTATTATTTGTGGAGGCTCAAACTTGTGAAGGTTAAACACCATAATTTTCCATTTGTTCTGCATTTTGATTCTGAAAAGAAAGCTGGCTTTGCCCATTTCTTATTAAAAAAACTTGTTGTAAATCCAGTTGTCTAATGGGATCTATATGAAGTTAGCTATGTCTGTATGCCCTTCTCCCACAAAATACTGTATAACTAGTGTGCTTGTAGTAGTTAACTCCACCATCTTTGTAAGCTAATGCAATTGTGAGTCACCCATTTATATCTTAATTTTTAATCATGTCAGTTCTTGAATGGGTATCTCCTTAGCCTGCTGATTTCTTTTTTCTTTCTAAAGAAAGTGGGTGGAGAAATTAATTTAGACGTTTGTTTGCAATAAAAAGAATTCATTTTACTCTCGTTTTGGGATTCTCGCCATCAAGGTTCAAAATCCCTTTTTAAAACTCCCAAGAGGAGAAAACCTAAGTGCGTGCTCTCTGGACAGCTTATTCTTTACTCTGTACTTGGAACATTTAGGTTTTAAAAACTTAAATGTACATTGACAATTGATCTGAATTGTGAAGTAAAGTTGAATTCTTCCCTTCCCCTCCCCCATAGATGACTTAACATTAAATGAGGGGAAAAGGTAATGGCTGGGAGAAGTTAACACTCATTTATCATCTTACAAAATGCTAATGGCTGTCCTCAACTGATATTTTATATACATATGTAATACATGAAACTCTGGGAACATGCTTTTAGAAGCCATCATGCAAGCCAGTCATTGATTTCACTACTACACAACACTGCTAACTTAACTGTAGCTATGTGATAACAGTAGATCCCCTAACTGTAATTTTATTGGGTTTGCACAGAACACTTAATCTTCTAAAGGACCCTCACTAATGTGAAGTGAGGAATCAGGAGTCAAACTGTAGAACTAAAGCTTCAGTCTAGTGTTTTGTTGGTATTTTAGGTTGCTTCTGGTAAGTTTAGGTTTGTCTATATTTGATTGCTTAGATTTGTTTTAGCTGCTTCAAATCAGATTTTTAAACTAGGATTTTTTTTTTCTACAAGCTGAGCTGGAGTTGAGTTTTAGATGTTGGTGTAGGTAGCTTCAGTTGATAAATTTGGTGGAACAGGGCTAATGTTACAATCACCATAAGAATACTTAACAGAACAAGCACAAGGTAGCGTCTCAAGGGCTTTTGTCTTTTCAGCAATTAGCGTGCTACTGGCAGTCACTAGCATGAGCTACTTTGCAGTACATATTATTACTAGGATTGCATAGACTTAATTTAAACCAAGGGGGCAAAATTCAAACTTTCTTGCTAATCAATGTTTAGGTACTCTAAATATCTAGGTGCCTTTAAAAAATCTTAAATATACCTTATAGTTAAATATTGCTTACTAAGAATTCCATATTCTAATAATTACAGTGGAAGAATAATGGCCAAATGACAGACACTATTTGATAGACTTAAGGAGTCTCAAGATCAGAATTAATAGTAATGTCTATGGTTATATTAAAAGAAATAATCTTAGAAAGTACATAAAAAATTCAGAACAGGGAGAGCACTAAATAGCAAGCAAAAGGGAGGAAAATGCCAAGTTTAGCAGAGTAAGATCTGTGAGTGAGAAACTTGGCTTATTCACTCCTCCCCTTACCTACCTCCTGGCAAGCAAAACAAAAACAAGAGGTACAGTGCTGAACAAATGTCCCAACTATACCTAGGGAACACTCACCTGTGAGATCGCTGTTGGGGTGTTTTTCACTAGGAAGTTATGCAGATGCTGAGTCAAGAGTTGGATCAGATTGATCAACTACCGTAGTATTAAAACCATTAACAACATAAAGAGGTTAATCAAGAAAAAAATTGCAAGATGGAAATGAAGTAATGTGAACTGACATGCCTTAGTTCTCTGTTGCTGGTAGGTTACATCTTGTTACCGGATCTAGCCTTTGATGGAGGCTCTGACTCTGACCTAGGAGGCTGAGACCAGCTTCTGACAGACAGAAAGGTGAACTCTTAAGATGGCAGTAAGAAGCCATAATAAACCCACAAAACAATAAGCTCTCATTTGCCTACGGTACATCCTGTCTGAAAATGAGAAATATGAAACTAGAGGTCCTAAGCACTAGCAACAAGGTTTTTAAAGCATCTTTTAAAGACATTTTTCTTAGAAAAAGTACTTAAAAGTTTTCCAGGAGAGGTAATAGTATGTTTTTCACCTACCTGGGGAGCTTACATTCATGAACAGTCTATTCTGTATTTAATATTTGCCTCAGTTGTGGGAATTAAATGTAAATTAGCTTTTAATCCTAGGATCATTTTTATAATAGGTCCCATTGCACAAATGAAAAAGATGAAATATTTTAGCAGTTTTTAGGTAGTGACATCTCATAAAGGTCTGATGGTCAATTTACAGGAGTACATTTGATGCTTGTAAAAAGCCAAACCAGATCCAGATTATGCTAAAGTATACATTTCCATCCTTTAAAGTTAGTTTCTCATGCACATCTTAAAAACAACATAAATTTCCATAATTTCCTTCACATAACTATAGAATGTCTCTGAAAAAAATGGATGGAACTTCTCTACTGTCCAACCCTCCAGAATAGTCCTGAAATATTCTGGGAAGATGAACACGATATTCTCAAGCCATTTTATGCCTAAAATTCTTGAAATGCTTTGAGTCTGACTCGTTATTTCTGGGGCTTTCAGGAAAACTGGGTTTAAGTTTTAACATTTTAGTAAATAGTTAAGAGTAGGTTATGGCCTGGCGATCCATTAAGTTTTAAGGGGCTGTTAGTGCTTTGAGTAAGAATCCGTCAATGCCTCGGCTCTAAACAGCAATTTGCATTTATTATGTAAACCACAGTCTCTTCAAATCATTAATTGCTACATTTAATCTAAAAATAAAACTGAATACCCTTTTAAAATGGAGAAGAGCCTTTTCCGTTGGGTAATTTTTAAAATTGAATTTTCTTACTGGCCCAGTCATTACTCCATTTCCACATTAAAACATGCAGATGGTAGGGTTAGCCAGTTTAGCATTTGAGATTTTTTTTTTAGGTTAATACTATTACCACAGGTACATGAAAACCTTTAGGTAGGTGGGAATGGTTAACAAAGATTACTATGCACTTACACTAAGGATATACTCTCACCTATCCAATTGACTACAAATATAGGTGGTTGGATATGTTTAATTTGCCCAAGGAACTATAAGGGTTAGTATATTGGAGATAGGGGAGAAATGTTAACCTATAATTTACTCAAAGAATGTAAATACCTTGTGTGATTAAGTTGGAAAGTGCTGTCCATGTGGAAAGCCAAATTCAGTTTTTTCAGCATTGTGTAGATCGGTGATTTTAGGTGATTGCAGATCCAGTATTAGGGGAACGAATGGTGCAGGTAACTGATAGGCCAGAACACGCGTAATCACTGCTTGGTTAGGTTGGACAAGGAACTTGACCATGTGTTTAATCTGTAATTACCTAGTTATTACTTAGAAATATTGTTTTCCTCCCTTTTCATGTCAGGAGTCACCGTTAACTTGCAACTTGACAAGGAACAGGGGTTTTACTTTTGACAAAGCTGGATCTGTGGTATGAGTAACTATACTCTAGTCAAGCAGTGAGGTAATGACATTCGAGACAAATGGAGAAATGCAAGAAGGTTCCGCTCCTTATTGTGGCTGTGGCACAGCAATCACTCCTGAGTGTCCAGCTCAAGTGCCTGCAAACTGGAGGAATGCAGGGATTATAGGCTAGAGAGGCTGACATAGCATCCAGCTGATACACACAGCTATTTGTGGCATGTTCTTTCCTGCTGTTCCTTTTAACAGTCCGCGATCGCCCAGGAGGTAAAATTAGTTTTGTCCAGTAAACTTACGCTTGCCAAGCACTTGAGAAGCATTGCCACAAATTACTACCAGCCAGAAAATTTTTAGGTAAAAACAGTGTAGACATCTAACTTGAGTGGCACAAGCTTTAAAATTATAAGGCACCTAGAGAGAAGATGAGATAAAACCAATACTTCAGATTGATTGGGGCTTATGTAAGTGGCAACTAACAGGTTAATTTTTTAAGGTAGCTATTAAGGTGTTTCATAACAGTTAAGGGAGCTAGAGGAGTCCTGGTCAAGTACAATATAAAAGGTTCCAACTTCACTATTTTTTCTTTTAAGTAATAAAAAAAATGTGCTGATTTAAATTTCATCTCCTTTTCCTTAGTCTGTCCATGTGAATGTGCTGTGTGGAAGAGTAAAAGGGCCCAACTAAATCTGTTCCAGTGATTCCAATAGGTATTCCAAATTAATTGCTGCTTGTACATTTAACACTTGTTACATTGAGTTTCTAGGATCACCTTAGTTAAAATTGCCCTTATTTTAAAAAGATGGGGGGAAAGGGGAAACTTGGTAAGCAGATGGGAAGGTTTTATAACAGAAAAAGTTCGATTTCTCCTTCGCATACCTGAAGTGGGCAGTCCTCTTGCATAGATATTTGCAGTATATGTAAATAGAGCCCAGTCCTCTTAAGGTTAGAACCTTATTCTAATAGTTTGAATTCATTCTGTTTAACTTTTTGCAAGACATTTGTTATAATGTCCTCCATACTGGTAGGCTTTAAATGCAGTATTCTGATGAAAAAACACACAAAACAAACTTGTGTTCTTAGTTTCCCCAAAACTTCCTGCATCTATACTAAATGCATAAGTACAACAATCTAAAACAGTGATTGAGATCCTTTTGGATAACGAAGGATATTCTAGGAAGTAAATTTAAGTTATAAAGAAGGAATAAGGCCCAGGGAGCTTTGCCAGTCCAGAGTATGTAATGTCTCTTCCCTGATGTGTTTAAAGCTTGATAAGGAGCTTGGAGGACATTTATTTTTCCTGCTGCAGATTCCATAATACTGTATTTTGGTGAAATGAGTGGACTTGGGTGCTATACTGATTTGAAATGTAGCTCCGGGTTTGCTCAATGAAAGAGTTATATTCTGTCAACTAAAAACGATCTAATGGCTTCTGAAGATCCCATAGCTCAGCTTAAAGTGAACAGTATTGCTCAGTGTCACTGATCGCTTTCTCACAATGGAAATACTTGGGGAGAAAGTCATCATTCTAGGAAATGAAGAGGAAGGCAAAGGCAGTGGTTGAAAAGACATATTTACAGCATATTTGTAGTGCTCATGTTACAAACTTGAAAATGTAATACTTTGAGAAATGCCTTCATAAGCTTTTTGTCCCTAAAGCTTCCCTTTTAAGAGAAAATTTAGAGATGGAACTTAATGCACAAAGTAATGTGTAAGATAACAGTATTTGGGTGGTAAACGATATTGGTATATTACACTGACCTGATTTGATGACCACTGGACAATATTTTAAGATGCTTCCAAACATCCTTTATTCTGGAGGACCATTAAAATTAATTATAGCAATCGTTTTAATTTTTCTACTTTCCTCATTAAGGTTTTCTGCTTACCCAAAGCATAGTGTATATATTAACATGACTTTTAAAGGGGTGCCTTGACCCCCATCTGCAACAGATTTTTATCTAGGAATAGAAGGATTCAAACCCTATTTGATCCCTAGCTCTGTGCTGAAAAGTGCATAAACAGGAATCCTGAATTTATTATATAGACCTCCTCGCATTATATAATCGAAGCAAAGGGAAACCAGCGATGGAGTAGAGGTACGTAGACTAAAGAGATGCTTGCAAATCAAATAATGGAACTAGGGATAGTAAAAAATTCTTGTTGCCTAACTTGGTCAATATCCATTACAAGTCCAGAGAGAAGCTTGAAGTTAATTTTAATTCCCTGAGGTCCTTTTAATAAAATGTAAAATCAAGTAGTCAAAGCAAAGGGGTGGGGCGAGGGAAGGGGGAAATGCATAAAGCACTGGAAAGTTGAAGTAGGTATGAGAGATAAGCCACGAGAAGTTGTGAAAACTACTAATGACCACAATTCTATTTTAATCAGCTATTTAGCTGGTACCTACTGCTATGTCACCTAGTGTGAAATCTCGGCTTTGCTGGAACACTGAAGACGCAGTGCAGCTGGAGGCTCCAGGTGAGCGTGGGAGGTAGGTTACTCTTTCCGACTAAAATCTCAAGTGTGTGCATGGATGAGAAGGAACCTGGTTCCTGTCCATTTGCTAGTGAATATTTAGTAATTCACTATAACAAACAAGTGTTGACTGTCTTGTGACACTTGGTTGGAATGTGAAGATACAAACATTGTCAGGGTTCTTGACAAGACAGTTAGGCTCAACTTGTAGCACAAGTCAATGGAAGTGCCACCTACTGTAACATGAAACGGGTATGAGAACCTAAATGAGGTGACCCTAATCCCCAGAGGTTAGTGACCAGGAGGATGAAAAATGTTAGAGAAGTAGAAGATACTTGCAGTGAAATTAAAAAGTTTGCGGAGTATGAGTTCAGGTCATGGTGGCCCAAGGTGCACTGAAGATAAAGGTGATTGGACTGGAAGTGGGGTGGCAGAGTGGAAATGGACTGGAAGTGGGGTGGCAGAGTGGAAGTGTCAAGATCGACAATGGAGGCCTTAGCAAATGTGTCCAGAGCAATGTGCTAAAGGGCCTGGAGTCTTAGACATAGTCTACTAATTCAGTAATACATCTCCTAACATCTTACTAAAGAAAAAAATACATATATTACTGATCATGTAAACGTATGAAGTGACATCTCCCTGTTTTTACCCAGGTCTCCAATTTATAAAGCATCCTGCTGTGAAAATGAAAACTAACCTTGTTGGTGAGGGCCCTGGAATTTTCACCAGCCGAGAGGGGCTTCTCTCTCACCCGGGGTAAGATGTAACCATAGTATGCTAGAGCTAGAAGAGGCCTTAGTTATTTAATCCAGTTGCCTCGTTTTATGTGTTACATATATTTGTAAACTGAAGCTAAGGACACAAGTGGCCTGCACAGATAACTTGTTAAATATCAGCTCTGATGAGTACTCATCATTTTTCCCCCAACTCGTGCAGCCTCTCAAATGAGTGTCACATCACGGCTTTTAAAAAACAAATTTGGTTGTTGTAATATGAATATTTCTAATACCCTTCCCTAATCAATGCCCAAGTCCTTCCTTTGGTGGCTGTCAAGATGATTAGGATCAATAAACATTAGGACAGGTGTGTGACAATGTCATTCACTAGACTAGCCGTCATGGCATTTGGCAAACCACATAGCCTAGGCACCCAGCCCTCATAGTAACAGCCACAAATTTATAATTTCCTAACCAGGAAGACCTCTAGCATGTATTTTATTTAACAAAATTTTTTTTAATGTTGATTTTAAAACAAAAAAATAAACATCACTGCTTTGGAGAGAATTTTTTCCTGAATGAATAAATGCTGTGGGTTGAGTTGTACATTGGCTGCTTTAAAAATATATAAATATATACTTATATTTACATATATAGAGAGAGAGAGAGCAGAAGAATGAATTATAAATGTCTTTTTTACATCAGTGTAATACTATGTAATCTGGCAGTTCTTTTTCCTTTGCATCAAACAAGTTTTGAAAATATTTTGTATATATTTAAATTCTACATAAAACTTAAAACCATGCATACTTCCAAAATAATATTTAGAACAGTTAAACAGCAATCTTTACCTTCCATGTAAGACATGGAAGAATAGTGTCAAGCAATGGACACATTTTTAAAATAATTTGCAAAGTGATCCAATCTATTAGCTTTAAGTCTTATACTACCATTGGTTTAAAGAAACGAGGACATGCCTGGCTGGTGTGGCTCAATGCTTGAGTGTGGAGCCATGAACCAGGAGGTCAGGGTTCAATTCCTGGTCAGGGCACATGCCAGGGTTGCGGGCTTGATCCCCAGTAGGGGGCGTGCAGGAGGCAGCCAATCGAAGATTCTCATCGTCGTTTCTCTCTCCCTTCCTCTCTCTCTGGAATCAATAAAAATACATATTTTTTTTAAAAAGGAACCGAGAAGTATTCCCTCATTTTTTAACTGGATAGTAATACGATTGTTTTAAAGGCAAGTTTTAAAATGGACATCATTTACACTCACTACAAAGGAACTTTTTAAAGCTTGCTGAACACTAGGTTTATTTTGTGTGACAAGTCCACTATTAAGCTATGCTGGTAGTAGATAACAGGGCCAGAATAAGTTCATAAAATATTCCTACAAGTGGAAAAAAGACTACAACTCACACATGCTTTATTTACTTGATTGAAAACCTTATGGCACATGCAATGTTTTACATAGTTGATCTCATCTTGGTTCACACTGACATCAGTTGTATTTGGGTTCTATGCTCGAGACTGTTCAGGTGCTGCTGCTGCTGTTGGGTTTTTTTTCAGGATCAAGGTGGGTACTTTCATATAAAATCTTATTTTTAATTCCTTCTCTGGCCATTCTTTCCTGGATTCTTAGCTTTGCATAATTATACCTACAATGGAACCTTGGAAGAAAAGAATACAGTCATTAATATAATAGAAACATTTGACATTTTACAGTAATAAAATTCAGGAATGCTTATAGATGAGTACCCTGAGACTGAGAGTATGACCATTCTAATCTGCAGACCTCTTTTTGGTGGTTTGGTGTCAGCGATACCTATGAACACTTTTATATAAAATGAGGATTTCTGTCTCTTTAGCTTAATTTTACTTGTAGAACCTCATGCAAATGGAACCAGTACTGTGGGTCTGGCTTTTTTTGCTGACGAAAACAGAGCTGATAGTCATCCATGCTATATCAGTTCTCAGTAACATCAGATGTGATGCTGGGAGCAGGGATGAAATGGAAATTAGGGTGTAAGGTACAGGGTGGAGGCCTTCATAAATGAAGTATAAGCCATAACTTGGCATTAATGGCATATTATGCAGTCATCTGCTCATTCAAGAAATGGTATAAAATATGAGTACATATACATACTGAAAGGATTAAGACATCCCAGCAATATCATTTAAGAAATTTCCATTAAAAAGTCCTTTTCTTAAAAATAAAAATCCTTTCTAAGTAACTGAGGGTGGAAATCTCCCAATGGGAAATTGCTCTGAAAAGAGCATGTGCATTGGAATTGGATAAACCTATAATCATGGGGTCCTCTTGAATGCTTAGTGCACATACCAGCATCCTAAAGTCACGAGGATAAATCCTCCTACTCCGACATCACATGATCTTCTAATTCTACCTGTCAAAAAGCACAGCCATTATAATTATGACATATTGTTTCATCTAGAAAATAATTGTTTGCCACACATAGATGTGTGTTGTTTACTTAGAGAAAAGTAGATACTCACTAGTTAACAAAAAATGTCCAAGGCCAGCCACAACAGATCCTAATGAACCATATAATACTGAGTCCCGTGCACAGGGAATGTTCTCCACATCTAAAATTCCTAGGAGCTTAAAGGGCTAAGATAAAATAAAAAAGAACCTAGATTGAACAAGGAAATACTGTAGATCACAGTGGTTTGGCAAAGAACATGACCAGGAATCGATCCATTTTTACTTTCAACGTCCTGCTTTTGGTATTCAGTCTGAAGAAGCTGAATCTTAAAGTGGGAAACCTTGAAAATTTAATTAATGAGAAAGCCTCTAGAATAACATACCTAAATCAATTGAATTTTGACGTTAGATAATAATTTGCTAATTGAACAGTTTGGAAATAAGAGCACATTTTATGAGCTCTTTAAACATCTGTATGAAATTTGGGAAGCAAAAGTGGGATTGGTACAATTCTAATGAGGTGAACATCAATTGTTTGCAAGAATAAATATTTAATATAAAGATAAACATTGGGCATTATAACTCCTGATCTGTTTCCTTGCCTGGTAGGAAATTGCACTTAATTATATTTATCTTGTGGCCCTCAATGGAGGGCAGGACAAAATATTCAAGAAAAAAGTCACATCTCTTTCATTGTGGCATTTCTATTCAATAAAAAAGTAGAAAACTTATGCAGGTTTTCAGTAATGTAGCTTTTAAAAGCTGCTTGTCCATTAAATGACAGTATAGTGTATAGCGGGAGGCCAAAGCGGGCGGAGGGTTCCTCCAGGACGAGGGAATATAAGGGAAAGACAGATCGCAAGAAGGAAGTCCGGTTAAAGGTTGAAATAACATTCTTGGTTGTATTTTTCTCCTGTTTGCTGCTTTGGCTCAAGCTTCTGCCAGGAAAGACAAAATGTGTGACCTGGTTCATAATAAAGCAAAAATTACATACCCTCTGGGATCATTCTATTCCATTTTTCCTTTGGTCTCTCCCTGCTAACCCTTCCCCCCCAACACAGGTTACTTCATGCACACAGCAGGTATTCATTAATATTGCACTTTAATTTTGAAAGTTCTTTAATACAAATCTTAATAGACATATTTGAATTGTGCTTCTAGGTTTTTCACTTCACTTAACAAATTCAGTTCCTCTGTCAGCTCAAAAGCCCAGTGGAACATGTGGTTGGAGGTGAGGGTGCGAGTTGCTCTGCAGGTAGGGAGTGTCGGCTCTGCATGCCACCTCCAACCCAGCCTCTCTCCCCAGGGGAAGGCTGCTTAAGATGCTAGGGCTCCAGAGGGTGGTCAGTAGTGTCAGCTCTAATAGGTCCTAGGCGCTAACACAGGTAGAAGGTGAGGCTTTCATGTTTGGGCCAAGAAGGAAAGGAGCCATCATGGGTTGTCCACACAGCAGGACAAGCAGGACACACCTCCACCAAAGATCACACAAGTTTCTGTAAGGCCTCTGGGCTTCTTCAGTCTGGATCCTCTTTTATAATGGAGCCATGGGGTGACACCCCCCTCATCCCCCAGGGTAGACCAGAATCTGCAGACAAACATTTCCTGGGGCACTTGGAAAAATGCCATCCACCCCAATCCTTTACAAGTATATGAAGTATACTTGCCAAATATCAAATTGTTATTTAAGCCAGCTAGGTAACTATCCTGATTTTTAAAAAGGTATTCTCAAAATTCAGATCTGGGATAGGCCATTAGAATGTTTAGAAGATTTCAGGTCTCTTTAAAGACAAACATCTTCCAGAAATTACATACCCTATTTAAAATGGTCCCTTCTAGAACCAGCACTTGGCTAGAGGCCCAGGATTCTGCTGCTAAACATTCTACAACACATCGGCCCCACCTCCGACTTAAGCTGTTGTGATGCCAGTACTGCCAAGGCTGAGAAACCAACGCAGGCCCAGAACAGTTCCAGTATAGAGCTGATGGAGGGGTACCAGTCCCTGCCCTTGACAGCCCTTATGTGTTCTCACGCCTCTGAGATCTCTGAACCGGCTCCGGGTCTACACACAGGGCTGTTAGGTGCTGGCAGGATGGAAGTCAGCCTGGAACTATTGCCCATCCCCACCCCAAAGAGCCCGTCGTTTCCATTGCATCCTTTAACCTTCTGGGTCTGTTCTAGAGGGAAAAAACCAAGGCCCACAGAGGAGTCGTTTTCCAGAGGACCCCCGTTCAGGGAGCACTAGGACTAAAATACATAATTGTGTACCTGCAACTTTTCTGAAAACTGGGAAAGAATGAACAAAATTTAAGATGAGAATCATTGATTGGCTGCCTCCGGGTTTGATTCTGATCAAGGGCATAGGCCCAGGTTGCGGGCTCAGCCCCCAGTTGGGGGTGTGCAGGAGGCAGCCAATTGGTGATTCTCATCATTGATGTTTCTATCTCCCTCCTCGGAAATCAATAAAAATATAGTTGAAACCCCCCACACACACACACACACAAAACATGCCCATATCTGACTAGTCAGGGGCACTGATCTCTTTTCCATTAGATAGTCCAATTTTAAAATGACAACAGCAAACAATAGCCATCTGGTGTGAATGAATCACAATTATACCCAATTTTTTTTTGTCAGCAAAAATTGCATTTTTGGAGTGCCACAATTTTAGTAATAATGTGTGCCATAGATGAAAAAAAAAAAGATTGAAAATTGCTGGTTCAGAATATTGATTACTGTTAATTTCCAGAAGCAAGTAAGAACTAGTCTTCAGCATATGAATTGTAAGATTCTCAGAAATGGAAATTAACATTTCACTATTCCCTAATTAGTCTTCAGTTTAACTTGTCATTAATGAATTTAAGCCCTTAAACTAAGGAATTTTTCTAATAGTATTTTGTAGGCATATTCTTAGATTTAGAAAAGCAACATTACCAGCTCACCTTGATTGAACCAAGGGAAGTTCAAGGTTTCTAAGCCAGAATACCAGTTTAATAATTTATAGGAAATAGATCAGATCAAATTAAGCCAGCTCATTACCCATTGCCAGTATTGTTTTCCTCTTGTTACAAAGGATGAACTGGCTGGCCAACCAACTGAGCCACAGCAGCCACAGCCCAAATTTCCTATTTTAAAACTTCTCAAGCAAAGAATGAGAGCAGAAGAAAAGTTAAGGGCTAGTTCTATCAGGTATGCTAGCTTGTTACCTCTCTCTCTTTTAATCCTCACCCCAAGATATTTCCCCATTGATCTTTTAGAGGGAGTGGAAGAGAGGGAAACAGAAACATTGGTTGCCACCTGCCCCGCTCCGCTCCGGGCCTGGGCTGGGGCGGTACATGCCCTTGACCAGAACTGAACTCTTTGGTCTGCAGGCCAGTGCTCTTTGCATTGAGCCAAACCGGCCAGGGCCCTTTCTCATTTTTATCTTAGCCGACTCTAAAAACCAATCTCTGGATTGTGGTAGAAATAATTGAAAAAAAAATTTTTTTTAAGTGCAGGCTTTTCTGATACTACCCTGGGCTGCTAATTCAGACATTGCTTATATTAATTTTATTATACTTTTTGATGAGCTTTGATAGGTACGAGTGTTTCATGAACAACTCACAAGACTTGACTTACAGTATTTTGTTAATGCTGGACCAATTAAATAGGTCATTAATTTTTTCTTCCATTGAATTCTTTTATCAATTCTCAGTGAATTAAAACACCCTGTTGACCATTACATGACAGCGGTTCTATCAAAGTGAACAATCCGATACAGAAGGGATTAAAGCTCCATTCAAGACCCCAGTGTTCTCTCAAAACAATGGAGAATTCCATATATTAAATATGGAAGTTTCAAACGGGTACATTTTGTTACACTAAACATAATCCAAATAATATACAAGACATTAAAAAACAAAAGGCACCAAGAGTTGTATAAATTGACAAAATCTGTTATTAAACATAGAAAAATTTTATCCAACCTTTGTTCCTATTAACCTTTTGGTGATCGGCTGTCTTGGCCAAATATAAGTGGGAAGGTCCCCAGAGAAACAAGAACTTTGAAAAAGTGAGCAAAACGTCCAAGCTGGTCAGGCTATCCTAAAACTACAGATTAGGAGCAACTAGGATGCACTGCGGGTCCTCACTGTGTGCATGACGGACCCACTGACACCCAGTGGACAGTAAGGAGCCCAGGGAGTGACTTCCGGCGATGCTGGTGCGGTGGCTGATGAGCTGGGGGACCGCTCCGCAGCCCTTGGGGAGCCCCGTTCAGCTCCAGAGCACCCGGGGAGCCAGGAGCCG